ATGAGAATAAATAGCATTGTATATGCACGGTGTTAGATTATTTTTCTAAGCTAGGATCTTTGTGGTAATGGAGAAAAAACATAAAATTATTATTTTTTATAAAAAAAAAAATAGAGTTATTATCTAGTATTTTGATATTTAGAAACTTTAACTGATCTCTGAGTTTGATAAGAAAACAAGTTATATATAAAAAGTACATACATCTCCGATACACTTTATTTAAGATACGTTGTACTATTTTTTTTTTTAATATAAATTAAGATATTGTTGTGTTTTTTTAAAAAAAAAATTGGTAAATAGATCCTTATTTTATCAATTTTAAAACTTAATTATTTTAAAGTTAAAAAATATTTTTATATTTTTTTAATATAAAAAATACATCTTATGTGCATTTGTAATTTTTGATATGAAGACAAACAAAATATTATATATATATATAGGTCAAGTTTAATAGAAGGGTTACTAAATTCAAAAATACATGTAAAGAAAAAGAGATTATTTTTGTGATTTTTTTAATATGTTAAAATATACAAATATAATTTTTGTTAAGATATCTTTTTATATATAAATTAAAAAATATATATTTTTAAAAGAAATATTTTTTTTATTATTGTTGTTATTTCTATAAAAAGAAACTAATTCGTTTAATAAATAAAAAGTGTCTCACATGTAGTTGATAGAAAAAAGTAAAGAATTTAAAATTAATTACAAGATTGTCTTCTGAACATTTAACTAAAATCACACTTTGCAAAACACAATAATAATTTCTAAATTGAACAAGATATCAATTTAAAAATAAATTATTTACTAATAAAACTAAACTTAATAACAATCAAATACTAAACCCAAGCATAATACATGAATCAAAAAGTAAATTGTAATTAGTAATCATAATCTCAAAAATAAATGTACAAACCAATACAAATTATAAATTCAAAATAATACATCAATTTAAATAAGATAATATTCCAACAATCCAAAATTATACACAACAATAAATATTTTATACCAAAATGTCTAAAAATATTTTGAGGTATAACTTAACCTTTTGAGGCATGTGATTTGTCAACGATATACCGAAGTTGACACTAAAAATATGGGAACAGTACAAGAAGATTTTGGGAACTGGAGTAACACTGTCGGCCTCCCCTCATTTTTGTGTGGTACAGCCACACAACTGTCGGCCTTCCCCCATTTTTGTGTGGTACCCCCGCCCCCCGCCCTCCGCCACCTCCCCCCAGCACACAGACACAGATGTATATAGGCAAAACAAACTTGTCTTTTTCTTCTTAACTGCTTGGCACCCCAGCAATTAAAAAATCATTATGATTCCTCTTTTTTTTTTTTTTTTACTTTGTATTTTTGTTTCTTTATCTAAATGTTTTTTTTTTTAAAAAAAACAATGTTGTCGTCAACACCAATAAAATTAATTAATAATTTTTAAAAACATCTAGATGGTGGCCAAGTGGTAAGGATTTGTAATTCAGGAGTTTGTTCCTTTTGTGGTCTCAAGTTCGAGTCCTTGATTGCTCATATGATGGCCACTAGAGGCTTACATGGTCGTTAATTTCAGGGCCCGTGGGATTAGTTGAGGTGCGCGCAAGCTGGCCCGGACACCCACGTTAATCTAAAAAAAAAAATCAATAATTTTTAAAATTAAATACATAGAATGTAAATTTTTTAAATTTTTAGCTCTTTTAAAAAACAATGAAAATACAAAAAATAACATAAATATATCAATAATATATTTTTTGAAACAAGAAGAAGAAAAGAGGCTGAAATTTTGACAATATATATAATTTTTTAGCATCTCTGTTGCAAATCAAGCAACTATTTTATCGCTATGATTATAGGATTTAGAATAGATTGTGGTGGGTGGGTTTCTGTGCTGGAGAAGTGTGGCTTATGGTAATACAGTGTTGAATCTAATATCAACAATTAGATATAATATCAGTGTTGCTAATATACAGTAACATAATATTATTTGCATTAACCTTTCAGAAAAGCTTTCCTTTGAATTTCAAATCATGAGTAGAATACATAAACTCATATGTCCAAACACCATCAATTATTTACCAATGATTGAATTTAAAATAATGAAAAAAAGTCTAACAACACGTGTTGAAATTAATTTAGTTCTACTCATACAGAAATTAAGTCTACGGCACCGTTTCACTTGTGCTCTACTTCTATAATTGTGGGCATGCTTCTCCAGCAAGGACTCTTTGTAAAAAGAAAATTGAAATTATAAAAGCTTTCTTTTATTCTTCTTCATCGTCTATGAAAAAATTATTATTTTTGAAAAATTATTTTTAACATTAATATAGAAAATTTAAATGCCTTACCTTCTGCGTTCAATTTAGTGCTCTCTCTTAATGTATATTTTAGCTTAAATTGGTTTTTGCTAAAATTTGAAGTTTTTGCTAAAATTTGAAGTTTTTGCTAAATTAATTTTTTAATATTCTTAAATTTTTTAATATGCTAATATAAAAATAAAATTTTTTAAAATAAAAAATATATTATTTTAATATATTTTTAAATAAAAAATACTTTAAAAAATAATTAACATCGTAACATCGTAACATATTCAGACATCCATTTAAAATAAAATTAATGGTTTTCATGTGTTTGGCTGCAAGTCAAGTGATGGTATGATTTTAATATATTTTAAAATAAAAAATATTTTATAAAATAATTAAAAATACTCTCTTAAACCATGTTTGTTTTCCAAAAAGTAATTTTTGGGAAACTACTTCTCAAACTTCCCCGTATTTATCTGCTATTAGGAAAGTTGGTCAACAAAAAATAATTTTCGGTCAACGAAAAACACTTTCTAGTTAATGAAAAATAATTTTCAGTCAAAGAAAAATCTGGCCTAGTTTTCATAAAAATGTTTTTTTTTAATTGTGTTTGTTTTCATTAAAATGATTTCTGAAAAATCACTTTCCAAACTTTCTTGTATTTGTTTGCCGTTAGAAAAGCTGGTCAACAAAAAATATTTTCCAGTTAAAGAAAAAATTGATTTGGTTTTCAGAAAAGTGTTTTCTTAAAAAATTTGGATAGAAAATATTTTTCAAAAGTTATAAAAAATTTAGAAATGTCATTATTTGCTGTTTATATCAAATTTGATCTTTAAACTTTTGATTGTTATATATATTTTATTTTGAATATTTATTTTTCAATTTATCTCTTAAAATTTAATTTTTATATTAACTTTAGTCTTTATTTTTATAATTGTTATTTTTTAATTTATTTTTCATGACATAACTAAACACTATAAATTATTTTTTAATTTATTTTTATCATATAATTAAATATCAAAACATAATTTATTTTTTTAAAATTTATTTTTAAAAAAATTATTTTTAAGCAAATAAACATATTATAAATTATAAATTTACGGAAAACAGGCCGCATTTTACTCTGAAAGGTACGGACTGAGAGGGTACAGTTTAGGTACACATCTGCCTAATATAGTGACACGTGAGAACTCCAAGTCCAAATTGGTAAAATTGAAAATTTATTTTCACATGGCTATATTTAATTAGCTTATTTTTTATTGATTTTATTTTATTAATTTTAACCCTTCTAAAAAATATGTAGGAATAATATTTTTAATAATTTTTTTTAGCATTTTGTTTAGTTTTTTCTAAAATATGAAAAATAAATAAAAAAAGTTAAAATATTACATTTTTAATTTTAATTTTTTATTTAGCAGCTGCATTGGGGATGCCCTGAGACACGGCAAGCTAGGCAACTTGGCCACTTACACGTCTGCACTAACACAATGGTTCAGACTGCATCGCCGGGATAAGATTGGCAGCGCTGACAGGTGACGATCGGTTTGAGGTAATCACGGCGGCAATCTCATGTCTTTCCTTCCTTGTATACACGCAGTTAATACACACAACCAGGCTTTAACTTAGGAGCGTGAATTACAATTTTCTTCCTTTGTTTTTAATTTCTAATTAGTACTTCATTTGTAATCTGTGAGTAGTATCATTTAGGTTAAAATAATTTGGAAAAGCGTTAAAAAAAATCACCAATTAAAAGCTAAACATTAATAGAGTCTTTAAATTAATATTTTTTCCCCAATTGAACCAATATTTAGATACAAATTATTAACTATTAACAATAAATAAATAAATAAATAAATAAAAATACTAGGATTTCTCAAAATCACATTAATTATCATATAAATGAACTTTTATATGAAGTGCACTAGAGCATTTGAAGTCAACTGGGGTGAGTGGATTCAGTTTATATTCGATCGATGCAATTATAAATTAATTAAGATGATTTGTCTTGGTGATATTTGTAATTTAAATTACTAATTTGTCAGTTTTTTTCTTTTATATATATATATGTATATATGTATATGTTCCTTTTTATTTTTAAATACTGGGATTTCTCAAAATCACATTAATTACCATATAAATGAACTTTTATATGAAGTGCACTAGAGCATTTGAAGTCAACTGGGGTGAGTGGATTCAGTTTTAATTAAGATGATTTGTCTTGGTGATATTTGTAATTTAAATTACTAATTTGTCAGTTTTTTTCTTTTATATATATATATGTATATATGTATATGTTCCTTTTTATTTTTATTTTATCTTTTTTGTAACACATTTATTTTATTTTTGTATAAACGATCTTTTAACTTCTTAGAGGTTATTTTTAAAATAAAATTTTAAAATTAAGGCAATCCATTATTATAAAAAAGAAGAAGATATCATTGGTCCTTGATTGGCTTGGCTATTGCATGGTATATCATTTGTACTGGATGATTTCTCATCTTTTCTTAATAGAATGACCAAGTAGCAAGTAGCAAGTAGCATAAGAATTAGCTGTTGAAATTGAAGATTTGTGGGACACAAATGTTGAATGCATAAGGCATGATGTGGTAGAGGTATTCATCGCGTGAGCCGTACATCATCGTCCGAATGAACGTGTCCAAAGAGAAACAGTAGTATCAAGTCAAAAGGGATAATGGACAATTATTGCAAAGGAGGGGCTGAAGAGAAGAGAAAGGTACTCCATAAAGGCGGTGACGCCTGTCACCTACAAACCCCTTGTTCCTTCTATATAAGCCCCACAACTTCACCCCATTAGCCTCTCCCTCTCTCTAAGTCACCAATACTAGCACCTGTTCAATTTAGCCTCTGCCACATCCTTCTGTAGTTAACTGTTCTTTATTACAACCATGCAACTTAGTTTATCAACACCTTTTGCTTTTGCAACTTTACGATATTCTCAGGTTGCTATTGTGATGGTACCAGTCCTGTTCTGCTGTTTTTCGTTGTTGCTTCTTTTTCTTCAATGGCATCACCCCAAAGACAAACGCCTACCACCTGGCTCAATGGGCTGGCCTTATATTGGAGAGACACTCAAGCTCTATACTGAGGATCCAAATTCCTTCTTCTCCGATAGGCAAAAACGGTATACAGAAGTTACACTATATATACATACCATATATAGCATCAAAGAGACATATAGCACATCCCTGACGTTCATATAAATATACCCCTACGTGTATAAATATGTTTTGTTGCTCGATTCTCTTTTGATGTCGATAATTAAGCTCATTTTGTAGGTTTGGAGACATATTTAAGACCCACATATTGGGATGCCCTTGTGTAATGATTTCAAGTCCAGAAGCAGCAAGAATTGTTCTAGTGACACGGGCTCATTTGTTCAAGCCTACATATCCGACCAGTAAAGAAAAGATGATAGGACCAGAGGCTCTGTTCTTTCATCAAGGGCCCTATCATTCAAGACTCAAGAAGTTGGTGCAGGCCTCTTTTTTACCCTCTGCCATAAGAGGGTCTGTCTCAAAGATCGAGCAAATTGTCCTCAGACTTCTTCCCACTTGGAAGAGTAACACTATTAATACTTTGCAAGAAATGAAGAAGGTATGTATGTATACATGTCGGTTTCTTAAAAACTAAATTTATCTCTTACTACTTTAACTTTTGTCCCATTAAGATTCTAAAATAAACGTACTTTTCTTTTCCTCCCCCCACCCCCCCCTTTTAATTAGTATGCTTTTGATGTGGCAATGATTTCTGCCTTTGGTGCGAAACAAGACTTGGAAATGGACGGGATTAAGCATCTGTATCGGTGCCTGGAGAAGGGATATAATTCTATGCCTCTGGATTTACCAGGAACACCCTTCCACAAAGCAATGAAAGTAAGGAGCTAGCTAGCTAGCAAGGTCCCCTCTCTCTTCAATTTCTGTGGTTACTGCTTCATGCTAAATCGGTGTCTTATCCTACGTTGTCCTCAAGTGCGCACACATTTTATTGTCAACAAAGTAGTGAAGAAATAGTGTATTATTGATTTTGAAAAACAAATAACAATGTAATAATTATGAGTGCTGGGTTTTGATGTTTGTTTGAAAAGGCAAGGAAGCTACTCAACGAGACATTGAGGAAATTGATACAGAAGAGAAGGGAAAGCGGGAGACGTGAAGGAGGATTGCTTGGAGTTTTATTAGGAGCTAAAGATCAGGAGAAGCTGAATCAGCTTAGTGATTCTCAAATTGCAGATAATATAATTGGAGTGATATTTGCTGCTCATGACACGACTGCTAGTGTCCTGACATGGATCTTGAAGTACTTGCATGATAATCAAGATTTACTAGAAGCTGTCACGGTAAATTTCTCCCACGTTAATCTATCTCCATCCCTTTTAACTTTCTCCTCCTTCCGTTCTTTTATCATTCTTTGGAACCTGCATTTTACTATTTTGAATGATTGTACAATTATGTCTAGTTTCTTATGTGTCTACTCTTTTGTCTTATTAACTTGTTTTTATTTTCGATTCTTTTCTTTATTTATTAGTATGACCAATCATTGGTCTATTAATTAAAACAATGCCTTGAGCAGAGATGCTTGCGGCATAGAAAGCAATCAAATCTTAGATTTATCGATTATGTATTGTGTGGTCTGTATCACTCATACAAAAAATTAATTGTTTGTTGTAGAGAGAACAGGAACTGATTAGAAGCAAAATAGTAGAGGCAAATCGAGGGCTTACGTGGGAGGATACAAGGAGCATGCCGTTGACTAGCCGGGTAGAAATATCAATTTTGACAGATTCAACTTAATTTAGTTTTCTACTAGCTTAATTGACATGTATATCATCATCCTTCTTTTTTCTTCTTTTATTGGCGGGACTTGAATTGTAAGAATAAATAAAAGGAAAAAAATGTCTTCGTTTTCAAACAAAGGAAACTAGTTTAAATATCTATATATAACTATAATGTGTTATAATTCTAATTGAAGGGATATAAAAAATATTTCAGGTGATCCAAGAGACGCTAAGAACAGCAAGTATACTGTCTTTCACGTTCAGAGAAGCAGTTCAAGATGTTGAGTTTGAAGGCTACTTTATCCCCAAAGGTTGGAAGGTTCTTCCTCTCTTTAGAAGCATTCATCATTGTGCAGATTTTTTCCCTCAACCCGAGAAATTTGATCCTTCAAGATTCGAGGTGAGGGCCAGAATGATTAATTCACTTGCGTACGTACACTTAGCTACACAACCATATATATGGAGGTTACCTGTAATTCTATATACTTGTGCGTGTGTGTGTCGACCTTGCATACTGTGTTTCTGAGTCACTGACCAAATTTCATGAAGTGGGTCATGCACTGCTACATTCTATCTTGTTTCTGAAAGAAAATATAAGGTTAATAGTGGCTAGATTATCCTACCCGACGAGTAATGTCCTTTTCAATTTTGTTTATGTGAATCTTCCCTGTTTTTAGATGATCAATCAGCTGGTCATGAAATCTTTTAAATATCAGATCACGTGAGTTGGTTTTTGTAGGCTAGTACCAAACACAAGCAGTGACTGTAGCAGTGTGATGAGTATGGTCTTGTTTGGAATCACATATATGATATATCATCTCTTATTTGTAGAAAAAGATAAATATATTCAGATCTTATGTTGATGATGATGATGATAGGCAAGGAACTTAAGAGACGATATATAATGGGGTGAAAATTGTATTTTCTGTGATGTTGCAGGTGCCTCCGAGACCTAACACGTACATGCCCTTTGGCAATGGAGTGCACTCCTGTCCAGGAAGTGAGCTAGCCAAGCTTGAGATGCTCATTCTACTGCACCATCTCACAACCACTTACAGGTCCCCCCCCTCATACAAACTAATCTATCAAGCACACATCAAGAGTACTAAAAACAAGCTTAAGTACAGTTTATATGAAAGCTTAAGTACAGTTTATATGAAAGGTTGTCAATATGTTAAAACTAGCATAGAGAAACAACGTTGTGATTAACAATACTAGCATATTCTCATAGAGTTTGGTTTCTGAGTACGATGTTATATTGGAGAGTTGACATTTCTACTTTCCATTAACTTCACTGATAAAGCTATTTCAGTCCTAGAGGTCTCCAAATATATCCACAATATACAAGTGGGGGGGGACAGTACTTGCTATATATATATATATATATATATATATATATGTGCAAGTACTGTCCCCGCCCCCCCTTATATATATATATCCACTGATTTTGTTTTGAAATGGGAGATAAAGGTCGAGCCACGTGGGTTAGGCTTTCTTAAAAAGGACTTCTGCCTACTGTTGGTCGACTGGGGAGGCTTTGATGGAGGTGCTGTGGTGGTCCTCTCGGTTTTCCTTAAGCCGTGGAAGTGGTCCTTGTTCACAGGCAAAAGCCATCGGTCTTAGAGATATTTTTTTTTGGGTTCAAGTGGATTCGAATAGTGGATACCAGTCTAGCAAAAACAGAATTCAAAATCATTCTCAAGACGCATGGCTTTCATGCATGACATATTTATCTAACGTATACTTTAAGTCTATGACCTTCGCACGACATGAAGTATGAGTTAGAATTACTATTAGAGGATCAGCTAGAAGTTGATAATGGCTGATGGTGTATATATATGTAATTGCATGCTTGTAGATTAACGCGCGGATGTCACATACTCCACATGAATTTGCTTGCATCTTGATATGTCGAGTAAGCTTTATACATGATATATTGCATTAATGTGGTAAAGGATCGATATACTGATCGCCATGCAATATTTACTGAGATTTTCATAACCATATGTGGATATATATCCCAGAAAATATTTTGGTCCAAAAATACTTGGCCTCCTCGTATCTATATATAGCTTTAATCCACATCAACAGCGGCTCTAGGGAAATAGAAGTGAAGCACGCAAATCACAATCACACACACTCCTTTAGTCTTTATTTAGCAAGCGACACAGTTGCCAGCTACGCGGTCCTAAAAATCAAAATGGCTACGAGCTAGCTGTAGAAATTGCTATAGACAAATTCAATGGCGCGTCACCGATGAACGGAGTCAGGAATAGTTGACACCACAAGCTTAATTTCTTCCTAACCTTTAAAGTATGCCACATAATTTCTCTTCTCCTGTCCTCTCTGTTTTGGGATCTACAGACTCTATTTTGTTAGGATTTTTTTTACAATTAGGACAAAACTAGATCATCATGTGATTTAGAAAAGTAGATCAGATAGTAAAAAATGTTTGTTTTCTCTCTTCATCTCTTAAGCTCGAGTCTTAAAATAATAATCGAAAGAAGATATTTTTTTATGAATATATTTGGTTGCTAATATGAGAGGTGTATTTAGTAGAAAAACTTGGTTTCAAATGGCGTACAAATTCATTCAAAATATCCTTCACTGTTGAAGAAGAGAGGGTTGATGTATGGTCATAGACTTTAAAATTGATCGATTCTTTAATTAAAAAAATATATATCTTGTTTGCATTTTGTTTACTTTAAAATTGCAAGATATTGACGACTACTGTCGATTTTCTTTTAACTTTCTTTGCTTAAACCTCAGTTTTGATTTGTAATTTTGTGGTGCTCTTGGCATGATCAGGTGGCAAACTGTGGGAGGCGAGGATGGTATACAGTATGGCCCTTTCCCTGTGCCCAAACTGGGGTTACCTATAAGGGTGAACCGCAGGAACAAAGCAGCGATATCCTGATTGGATAGAAATCGAATTCTCAACAGTGATCGGAACTGTTTCAATGAAGCCAAAAAAGCAAAATGGCCCCATTGAGTTTCTTCTTTGATTTTTTTTGTTTGTTTTCCTTTAGTTTCATTTTGGTTGTTAAAAATCGTTGTTGGGGATCCTTAATTTTCTAATTTGATGGGCTGTGTATGGTTTGTTGATATAGGTATGGTTTGTTAATATAGGTACGTAGGTTGGCAAGTCAATGTCAAGAGCATCCTCATGTCTAATTCTGCCTCTAATTTGACGTCTTGTAACATATAATTGCTTGCAGAAGAAACGAAAAATAATTAATAAAAGAATTGAAAACAGGGAACAAAAGAAATAAAGGATGAAAGAAAGGTTGGTTTGAACAATGAATTTGAGCTTTTGGACACGAGTTCGTGTATTTCGAGGATCAAATGTATGTGGCTTTGAATGGTGAATGAAGTAGTTATCATGTTCATAGATTTTTTCTTCTGCTCCTCTTGGTCTACAAAGAACGCAGAGAAAGATAACATTGGCAAAGATAAATCAACTGGGTTTGCGCCACGTGGAATTACTGGGTTTGTGCTTGGTGGAGTTCCACGTCGGGCTGGCTGTTCACAGCGGAGCAGAGCATGCATGTGATGATAGGAAAATATTCACAGGGACAGATTCTTTTCGTCGCGTAAATGTGTGCTTGAAAATTTCACAGGATGAGATAGTGAATCGTGACTTGGAAGGGTATTTAAACATGGTCCAGTCCTTGGTTTGAAGCCTTGAATCGCCATGGCTTCCTCGAAGAAAATCCCAAAATTTCTGTTGACTTTTTTAAAGTTAAAGAATCTAGCATTTCCTTTAAAATCTCTCCTATTTTTCCATATAAAGCGACACCCAAATATATAAGAAGACCACCCATTTTGTCACGGATGAAAACAAAACACCAAGAACAAGCAATGAAGAATTTCTACCGAATAACTTCACATTAGCAGCAAAATGTGTGATGGTTTCTCCACCAAGAGAATTTTTAGATATTTCCTTCACAACTTAATTTTATCATCTAAAATAAAAGGAGTATAAACTTTGACCCCATTAGGAGGCACATTCTCCTCAATATACTTAATCAAAAACCATATTTGGAGCCGCATCTAATTTAATGTTCTTTTCATATATGATTTTACTACTAAGATTGGAGTTTACTTAATATCATCATCGAATATTAAAATTTATATATTGAAATCTTTTTCTTTAGCATCATTTTACTTATTTTTATTGCATTTTGATGATTGATTCAAATCCATTATAGAGCTAGAATTATAAAAAATTTTAATTTCAAAATCATATTCATCTTGATTAAAATGTTGTCTCCAGCTTTGCTTATGCCTATTAAACAGGTTTTTAAAGCTAACTATGAATTTGTTATTACTTTTCTCATAATTTTATAGTTTTTTCTTCTTCAGCTCCACTACACTGACGGGGTAATTTTTCAATTAGCCTATGCAATTTCATCACCTCTAACTAAAAAGTCAATCCTGTAATTATCTTTATATATTTTCTATTACCAATTTTTAAATGTTTTTTTTTAAGAAGAACTTCTTTATCTTCTCCTACGTAAATATATTCTATTCTATGATCATCTCTTAACAGCAACTAATTATTAAAAATTACAAAGTTTTGATAACACCGATACATATAGAAACAATATAAAAAAGACAACAAAGGCTACAAACAAAAATTCTAATTTAAATTTTTATCATTCTAATATTTTATTTAATTAAAACTCAATATTACAACTCTTTTACGTAGCTTATAGACTAGAAAAAACATTATAAACAAAGTTAAAAAAAAATGAAAGAGTTTAAATCAAATTTAAAAAAAAATCTTAAATTAACTAAAAAAATATAGTAAATCTTGAAGAATAACTTTCAAATCTTACTTGAAAGCATTCCCAACATGAAATAGCTATGAAATTCTAACACTATAGCAAACAATGACTCTAAAATCTAGTATAAAAATCTGTTAACAGAAAGAAAAGATGTGTGTGAAGAAAAAATCTCCTCCTACAAATTCAGATGACCTTTGCCCCTTAGGTATTTTTTATTCTTGGTTTTTAGTCTTAAAATTCTAAAATAGTCTTTTAAAAACAGAAAATAGAGAGTAATAACAGAAGAACTAATAACCATATCGACAGCGACATGAAAAGTTAAAAAAATATGATAAAGTTAGCATGACTGGTTAAAATCTTGAAAAAAGTTTAGTGAAAACTTTTATGATATGAATAAAGGCAACAGGCGAAGTTCTAGTGGTTTTAGCCGCTAGAACTTGATGGATGCAGATCACAGCTACTGCTAGCCGTAATCATATCAAAAGCACAGATGTACCAGATGATGTCTTTAGTAAAATGAGAAGGCACCACCATGCAGAACGATATTACAAAGTCCAGAGAAGCAGTGCCATGTCCTTTATTGTAAGATCACCTTTCCACTGTCGGGAGACTTCTAGGCTATACTAGTTTGGGAGACTTGCACGCGCATTTAAAACCCAAAGACCATCTACGTACAAGGATTCAACTCTAAGTTTTCAGGCTTAGTTCAGTAGAGACGACAAAAGAACTAAAACTTTCAAAAAAACCTCTACGACCACTATGCTACCAAAACCAAATCATCTCCAAAGTCTAAGTAAACATTGAAGCTGTTTCCTCGTACGTAATTTTTGTTATATAGATCAACCGGGACCCAAAACAACTGAATTCCTCTTCCTGTAATGACTGGATGATTTTTTTTAATGAATAATGTAACTTTTATGGTGGGCTTTTTGTTTAAAAAATGTATTTAGTAGAGCTTGGTCTCTCAGACGAATTAGCATGTCCCAGACAGAAGAACACGAGCAAAGGAAAATGGAAGTTTCCATATAGTTCTACATGCGCTGCTAATAGCTTTACTAATTTGTTATATATCAATTTCATATTTGAATTATGGAAAGCAAGTACTTAAAACCCATATCCCTATTTCCATATGCAGCAAGACTACAGGATTTCGTGAAGTGAATACCAAATAACATGTAAAAAATCATATCCCCTTCCCATCTATCACAAGACTAAAAATGACACTTGTTACGTGCTTTCTAAAAAATTCCTGAAACGGGGAAGCCCATGGAGAAAAATACTTATATTATAGCACATAGGTGGGACTGAAACTGGTAAACTTCCAAGAAACACGTTCGCAAAACATAGAAAAGTTATGCCAGCCAGCCTCCCCATCATATACATTAAAAAGAGATCAAAAGGCGATAAACGCAAGTGTGGAAACCTGGACATCCCTGTACGGAAAGTTTGACAGGTATATGAAGCCAAAAGAAGACCAGTTACCTATTTGCATGATAATGGAAAAACATAAAAGAAAGTGATCTAGAATGATTTCCATCAGAAGAAAACAACCTAGTGTTTTCGAGTGATATATTTCTTGCTCTATCTTGAATTTTTCAACCGCATGCTTACAACGTGGTGCAAAGCAAGTGTTGGCTGATATGCTTCTCATCATGATGAGCTGATTATCATGTGCATATGAGCTGGCTTCCACAATGCCCAGATTTTCTTTTTCGGGGACTGAACTTAAAGTGTTAATCTATATACAATCAATTATAGGGGACATTGGGACAGCTTCCCTGAGATGGAGGCTTGTAAGCGAATGCAGTTCGTGTCACAATACTACAGCTTCAGCACGTGGCATAACAGTTCCAGCTGAATTGTAGATCATAAAAAAGATAAGGATCCACCTATATTGAATAAACTTTGCTCCATGGTGTTGTAGTCATCAAGATGCGTCTTACAACGAGTCGTCCCTGTTAGATTAAGATCACATGTTTCTGCTAAAAAGTCAGTGAGGTGACCCTAAAATAAAGAAAGAAGAAAAGACCCCCTCTACAGAAACATCAACTGCTGAATCCTATCCAAAAACAATGCTTTACAACTAACTATATGAAAGAGGAAACCCCCAACCGGCCACCTATACTGCACTGCAAGCGAGTACACTTCAATTCAAGTCATGAAAGGATGGGGTTAAAGTTCGTATTGGGATCAAATTTAAATTATCATACATCACAAATGGTTCATAGAATTTCTATCCTTTCAAAGTTCAATGGACAGTCGAAATGAAAAAAAATGAAATGTGTTTGTCCTAATAAGGTTTCGTTAGATAATAGGGAACTGAACTCCAAGCAGAGAATAGAAGACAAGAAGTATATTCAACAACACTTATATTTCCTAACAACCTGTGCTCGATAACAAAATATCTGACATGCACACATCATGCATGGAATCACGACTCCATCTTTCTCATAAAAAGTAAGTTGAGAAATTAATGAATCATTATTTAGAATTGCAGAGCGCACTTTATTTACAATTTTATAGCTGAATATAACATTCATAACGCCACATATTTTTGCTTAGTTGCTTATGCAGGACAGCTTCAAGAATATAGACATTTTAAGTTTTTACTTCGGATTTGGGATCAATCTGAACAGTCAATAAGTGATTTAGCAATGCTTTGATAAAATTTGATCTGATTTTGTATAAGTAGAAGGTGAGAAGGAATAATTAAGAAGACAGGGTATAGACGAGCAAGGGGGGGTGCCCTAGGCATCAAGTCTATAACACAACTTAAAAACTCTCAATACCGTTCCATAAATCTGTTTGTGCAGTATGTTATATAATAAGCAAAGTACCTCAAGATAGGTAAACTCCTTGTTCATCAAGAATTCCTAAATTCAATTATTATTGCTGAATAAACTAGCCTTGTAAAATTACTGATGACTCCCAAATGGGAAAACAGCTAAACATGATGGCCAAAGAAATCCCTCAATAACCTGCAAACACCCAGATTAGAAGAAAACTAGAAATCTGAACTTGTCTTTAGACTTCAAAAGTCTCTGTTTATGGAAAATTACTTCGTTATGGTGTCCAAATTGAACAATTAATTGTCTAACAGTAATATAGTTGCATCATCAGTTTGCTTATAAATGCCCTTGAGATGAATGACTCTGTAATTATAAAGGAAATTCTTAGATATGACAACCTATACCATTTAGTTTCGTCACTGGTAGGAGCTGATTGTAGTTCCTCATAGATACAATCAATTTCAATGCTCCTTGTTGTCTTGTTACTAATTCATCCAAGTATCTTTATTTTAGCTCTTCACTTATCGACCAGGATAGAAGCTGGTTTACTATAGCAGAATAAACTATTCCCAGCATTTTCATTTCAGTATCTACACAAGTGGAAGAAACTGCATTATAGTGCTGCATATCTGGCAGAGACTTCAACCTGAATTGCATTTGATTAATGCAAACTCTAAGCAAGAAAATGGTAAAAGCAGGGAACTTTGGAATGTAAAACAGATAGTATTAATCACACAAAGTTGTGTTGATCATTACAATTCTTCCAAAGCAGTGGCACTAAGTCTTTCAATTGCATTCTTAATATAATGTGTGATTAGTAAAGACACCCAATAAATGAATTAAGCGTTTTGCCCCAACTCAAACATAAGTATTTCGATAACCTCAAGGCTGTGTAAACTCTTGAAGCAAGTCATCTCCAGAAAATATATCAGATGACACATTACAGGATGAAAAAAAGAAGCTTATTGGCTTTACGCAAATTTTCAATGGATTGGAGATTTAAAAGGTTCTTAGGCACACTATCATCAGTTCAACACAACTGCACCAGGCAGGTCTAGCCACACCATTCTATGTTTACACTTTGCTAAACAAGACATACCAGTGGAGGATTCAAATCATTGTGATTGCAAGTTCTACGACATTTGTCCTAAAATACCATTTGGACTGTTAATGATGAAACACCAAGTCCAAAACTTCTATTTTTTGTGTGTTATTAAAAATTTTAGAACATAATCTTGGGATAAGCATCTTCTGAAAATCCCCAAAGATCTAAACTATTGATTGCCTTATTTCTACCATTTGATGCACATGGCTAGCTCCTTTTAATTTCTCAAAAAGAGCAAAGGAAACAGTACAAGCAAGTTGATGGAGGAGCTTTCTTTGAAATTGTTTTTATTTATTTCTGAAATAAATGCTTATTTAATTAATTTAGGGTCATATGATTAGCATGTGAACTTTTAAATATTTCCTTGGAGGTTAAGTGTTTTTTCTTGTTGAACAAGACTAGGGAATCCTTTTCCTACAAAGCTATAGAATTTTAATTAGTATAGATAGGATGCTAAGGGGTTGGTTCTATAGATGATTTTTTATTTATTTATCAATTTATTCAGATTTTTAGATGTTTCTTTATGTTCCCTATGCCTTATTGTCTTGTTCCGGCTTCAATTTTGTTCAATTTTAGCCATTAGATTGCTGTCATCTGTTGTTTCTAATGTTTTCCTTTTCCTACCCTACATCAGAAGTTCTAATAGCGACAGACATTTGATACTCCAAATGATCACAAACTAACATTCTGCCAGCACTTTACTGTAGATTTTAACAGGGGTTGTTAAAAAAACTTATTTTAATCTTTACTTTGCAGTTTACAAAAATAAGTACTTCATATCAACTTCACAGATTTATTTGTATAATACCAAACAGGTGAATTCTTAATGCCACGAAACCCATTAAGCCATTACCACTTATTGCATTATAACATGGTTATAACTTGGAATTAAAAAGAACAAAGTTCTAAGACCATATAAAACTTAACTAAAGATATATGGAAGAATATTATAGCATGATCTCATTTCAACTTAAAAATTCAAACCAGAGCCGCCAAAAGTGAGAAAATAAACATGGAGGCATTAAGCTAATAGTAAAATGTTGAAGACATACAAGATGGAATAAAATTTGGATTATTTGGCAATTTTAAAAAATAAATAAACTCATTGTTGAATACTTGACTTTCAAGGCAAGTGAAAAAGAAGACTCAATTTTTTATCCTCTTCTTTGAAACAGCCCTATATAACTCAATAGGCAAAAGATAATGGCTAAGAGCTCAAATTTTTGAAAGCCAAGGACCATACATGACAAAGCAAGGCACCATGTGGAGTGCTGAAGATATCCAAAGACCAACACCCACCCACTTTAATGTCCAGACTAGAAGTGTTCTTTAGCTTCAAGAGAAAAACACCCAACATGCATGCGTAAACAAACCACAATTGATTCCCTAGTCGGAGCTATTAACAACTATCTATCAAATGGCTAGAACAGCAAAATGGCATGGGTAGTGCCAACATAGCCAACTGCTAGAGCAACAAAATTTTCAAATAAGTACTGTGCTATGGCAAGGTTGGCAATTATATAAGCAGGAAACATGGAAATATTAAAAGATGATCACTTTAGTTTTTTTGTAGAATAAAAATGAACATTGATCATTCCAATGCTAGAAAAAAGAAAAGAAAAGAAGAAAAATGCCCAGACCAAATGGTATGCCCAGCAAGCTTATCTCTGGAAAACCATAACTCTTTCATGCATATTACAGTGAATCAATCCGCATCAACACAAGAAACACCACTAAACTAGGGCATTACATGATGCATCGTAATGACAAACAAAAAGTCATGGCAAAGCACTCTGAAGACATAAATAACGATAATAAAATCGCACACTGTGTAATCTAATTTTTTTCCTTCTCATTCAAAAATCCAAGTACTTATATCCGATAAATTGGTCACATTGAAAAATCAACAATGCATACCTGCAGGCCATCCTAATAAATCAAAGGAATGAACTTGTACTGAACTTTACTCATGTACTCTAGATACTTCTCCCCGAAAGTCTCAATCATTAGATCCTCCTCCATTTTTGCCTTCTGTGCATAATACATCAAACATACCGCTACCACAAACAACAGGCTCAAAGGTGCACGAAGCGCAATGAAATAAGTCACAAAGAGAAGCAACGTGGACGAATAGATGGGGTGCCGGACCCACCTATATGGCCCAAACTGCACAACAGCAGAAGGCACCACCACCTTCTCTGAATACTTGGCAAGGTAAAATGTAGAATTATATTGCATTAGCAAAGTTGCCAATATCAAAATCCAAATCCCCATATTGATCAACCCACCAGGAATAAGGTGCAGCTCTGGCCCTTCAAAAGCTGCAAGCCAGTGCCCGGCCATGACCCCAACACAAAACAAATGGCGACACCATCTAGGTGGGTTTAAATCCCACTTGGGGTCATGCGGACGTGCATAATAATCCCCATACAAACGTTTCCTCACACTTACATTGAAGAAAAAGAAATAATGATACACAAAAAAGAACACAAGAGGCCATCCTTGTAGATATCCACTGAAATGGGCAGGAGGGACAAGAGTTAACCAAGTGAACATTGATGTAACAATCGCAAGTTGCTCAAAAATGCTAGCTTCACCGATTGAATGCTTATAAAAGCAGTATAACCCATAAACAGCAAGTGATATAGCCACAAACCATGGCCAAAACAACCATGTCCAGCTAAAATACATCCAGAAAAACGGGTTAATTACCAAATTCACAGTCCATTTAGTGGCAGCAATTGCAGTCGATAAGATGGCAGACCACTTGATGATATCAACAGGGGTTAATTGCAAAAGGGTAGCTTTCAGTTTCTCAAGAGAGAGGTTTTTTAAGGGTTTTAAAAATTGGTGGGTCCGAAGCCCCTCTGTGCTTACAGAGCCCGAATATGAGCATTTGGGAGGAGAAACCAAGTGGGTTCCCGTTATTTTCAGGGATGAAGTTGACAGACAAAATGAAAAAGGAAGGTTTAATGGGTTTTTTATGGGTTTAAGGTTTTGACCAGAGAGTAAACTGGTATTTGATAAATGGGATTCAAGGTGTTTGTTGTGATGCCGGAAAGAGAGTTTTCTTTTTCTGTTGTTGATGGAAATAGTGAAAATGAATGGAATTGTTTTAGAGTGAAGGAGAACTGATGTAGTTTCCATGGTGAGTGCAGTAAGAAAGCAGTGAATGCCTTTGTAAGGCACAATTAAGCAAGTCTAACGTTAAAATAAACGGGATGTTTATGTTCCACTTCCAGGAACAAGATGATCTGCTCTGGTCTGGTCCAAAGTATAGGTTTAAAATCTAGCAGTGTTCTTATCTGATGACCTGGGCTAGCTAAGTCCAACGCCAGCCCATTCTTCTGATGGTCTAGTGAAATTAGAGGGTCGAACTGGGCCTGCTGTGGGCAGAGCAACTGACAGATTCTTGGGTACGGTCTTCTTCTTTCTTTCTTTTTTGGTTAAAAAAAAAAGGATTTTAGTTCAATTATGATTAATGCTGCAAAAATTGTTACAAAATTAAAAATCCAACAAGAAAATATATTGTTTTCTCTTTATTTATTATACTTTCTTTTCAAATATTTAATTTTAATTTATTATTTTCCACATTTTTTCATCCAAACTCTATTTCTTTTTTTTTTCTTTTTTTATTAATTAAATACACTATTGACATACTAAATAATCTAACCACGTACTTTTGAAGATTATTTTAGCTTAAGAGGAAAAAAACCATCCTCTTTAATTTATTCAAATATAAAAAGCCCTTTCTAATACTATAATTCCATTAAGAAGAAATTCAAAATTTAAGGAATGTTAAGAGACTATTAAAGTAGATGAAGAACGTGAGAATTTAATTAAATATTGTATCATTAGATTATAGAGTATATCACTAGTCAGTTTTCTATGCAATGTTGTGAGGCCCTTTCTAATTTTCTTAATTAAATTATGTGGAAGTTAAAATAAATATCAGCTAAAAATCTAATGATTTAAATTCTGGATAAATTTTTTTTGTGGTATGATGAAAGTATATCTTTTTTTATTAGAAGCTTAGGTTTTGTGGTAAAAACTCTTATTTCTTATTCACGTGGTTCTCTTTTTTAATAAAACATATATTTTTTATTAACAATATATTTTTTGAATAAAAAATTAAGATAATTGAAATAAATATTCATAAAAGTTCTACTTGTTTAAATAAATAAATATTTTTTTAATCAAAACTCTCATTCCTTATATATGGTTTTTTTTTTCATGTATGATGAAAGCATATCTTTTTTTATTAGAAGCTTAGGTTTTTAAACAAAAAATTATCATGATTTGAAAAGCAAAATTCAACAAGCATAAACATAACCCATAACCTTCAAAAATACAAAAAATCATCTCGGAATAAAAAATTAATCTAAAATAAAAAATCTTTTTAAGTTTAGATTTGATGTTTAAAGAAATTTCAAAATAAAAACAATTTAATTTGACCTCCCTAATTACATAGAATCATTTAGCACAAAAATAAATTATTTTTGTGGCAGGAATCATTATAATGAAAAGTTTCTTTTTATGGTAAAATCCAATGAGCCTCTTTCTTTTCCCATCCAAAAAAGATTAGAAATAAAAGTTTGATATGGAAATTAAATTTTCTAAAATTAAAGGAACTAAACACCTAATAGTGATTAAAATAAAATTTTCAAACAATTTTAAAAGTTATTATCTATTTTACTTGCCTTTTTCATTTTAGTCTTGTTTTTTTTAATTGAACTCTCCATCTCAAAAAATAATGCAATTGGATAATAATTTAGTTTTATAAAGGTTTAATTATACAAAATAAAAATTCAAGGATCAATGTAATGTAAAAAAATTAAGGAGGAGTTTTATGATATTTTAATCATTGGTTCAATGAAATTGACGCGTTAGAAAATACAAATGAAATGGAAACCTATTAATACACTCTTATATATTATTGGTTTTCTCAATGGCATCTTAATATAAAAAAATCAATCAATCATAATCTTGAGTTCAATTATATTTTCTAATATATCCCTTCAATAATTTTGGTCCATAAAATTAACGATACATGAATTACATGTAATAATTTAGTTACAAATTGATTTAAATAATTGTAAAATGAACAGTGTAAATTTCAATATAGTTTAATGATTGGTTTAGGTTTGGGAATCATTGCATTTCAAGTTCAACAACACATCCTTATTTCTTTTTCTAAATTTGAAATGATATATAGTTAAGTTAATTAACATGTAGAGCTTATGATTGAAAAAAAAAAGTGCTAATTAACAGGTCCACTTTTAAAAAATAAATGATCACGAAGTTCTCTGATGTTTTTTAAGAGCAATAAATTCATTTTATAATTTATCTTCCCAAAAAAAATTATATTTAATTATGATATCTATATCTATATTATGATTATTATCTTCTATTCTATATATATATAACCCTAGGTCGAAATATATTCCAGTGGTTATTTTGTTATTTTTGTTATTTTGCGTTCCATCGCGCGCTGCATGAAAATTAAGGCTTTGTCCACAAGCGCAACTTGACGGTGCTTTGTCCCCAAATCCTCCATCTCCAATTGGGGCCAAACCTGTTGGTTGAGGATTTGAGATCCTCGAAGGTGAACATAGAAGGGAAAAGATTATCAAAGCCATAGATTCCTTTCTTAGACGTGGTGCTGGTGTGGTGCAGCTCGCGTAGTTGATGGTGGCTGACGATGGAGGTTTGAGTGGCTGGCGTGGAAGGCTGATGTGTTGGTATTGCTGGTTTTGTGGTGACGGGGGTGGTGTGGGTTGTGAGTGGGTTTGTGGTATTTGCAGTGGAGGCTGGAAGGGAGGCGTTCTCGTGTGACGACGGTGGTCTATTAGGCAGTGTCGAGAGAGTTGACGTGGAGGCTAGTGGAGAGAGAGGGTCTGGCTAGTCGCCATTTTCCATTGAGAAGGAGATGATGTGAAAGAAATGATAAGGGTGGTGTCTTTGTGAATAATATTTTTAAGCACTAATTAGGTATTAAAAAATTTATAACGTTTAGTCTGTAATATTTTAGATATTTTTTTGGTGATCGAGTTGACGAAGCAATGACTCAGTATGAACTGTAAAATTAATTATTTTAAATTGATATCGACTGAATACGTAAATTACAATGTATAAAATGTTGGTAACCAAAATGTTCAAAACACAAGATATTTTTAATAATTTTCCAACAAAATATGAACTTATTTATAAGAAAAGGTCGAAAAGTTAATTTATTGATATTAATAAAATTTATTTATCATTTTATTTTTAAAAGTAAATTTTAGTATAAAAAATAAAACAAAATAATATCTTACTGTGTTGTTATACTTTCCCACTCATACTTGCCTATTCACCCAACTATTCATAACTCTTTTTTTCTCCTTGGTTTCTTAATTTTTTTTATTTTTTACTCTTTGATATAAAAGTTTTTATTTTTAGTTTCATTATTAAAAAGTGGATTTTTGGATTTTTTTTGGAATTTTGAAGAAAAAACAAATATTTTTTATATCGAGTCCGTATCTTATAATTTAAGTCTACATACTGATATTAAACAAAATTATTAAGGAAAAAGGGCAATGGACCAAAAAAAAAAAATTTATATGTATATATATATGGGTTTGACCTCACCCAGCTATCTTGGTTAGCCTAAAAGCTCATCTTGGTTTTTTTTGTAAGACATGAATTAATTCACATCCTGCATGTAATAAGAGATAAGATGCAGGAGAGAAGGAATGAAGAAGCTTCCCTAAGCTGAATGGGGATGTTGCTGGTTGACGGTCCTATTGGCGGCTCACGGTGGAACTATTGATAGCCCGCGACAACTGTTGCCTTATAGAGGTGTTTGTCTTGCTGAAGATGTTATGCTGATAAGGAAGATGTCATTGCTCAAGGTGGAGGTGGCTGCTGATGAAGGAGATACATGATTGTTGGTATAAGAGGTTAGTGTTGCTGAAGGAAAAAATGGCAGGAAGATAGTTTGGTGGTAAAGAGAAGATGTGAGGAGATTGAATTGAGAGGGAACATAAAAAATCATGAAAATAATGATTTTCTAGCTCTCTTTTCTCTCTTTTTTTTCTTGCCTTTTTATGCCCGAAATTTACTCCTACTTATAGATGGTGAAAAAGGAACATCTTGTTTTTATTGAAAACCAATATTGACCTTTAATGCAAACGAGAAGGAACTCAATCGTTAACTTAAAGACATAATCATGAGCTATAAAAATTTGGTTACTGAAGGCTAATCGGGTTAGCCTTTTGGAGTGGTGACGTGATGATTCTAGAGCAATCAGCTGATAAGAATTACATTAGGGTGTACTACGATATTAGGCCATCAAAGTGGTGTCTTGTTTGTCTAATTTAGTGAAGAGATGACACATTCAATGCTCTTGAAAAGTAGTCAACTGAGCAGCATTTCAAGTACAAAAAGTTGAAGATGATGAATAGTAGGTAGACAACAAGTCATTAGATGTCTCTTTTTTTTGTTTATATACTAGTCAAAATAACATCATTTTGTACCAAAACAACTTGTTTTGGTCAAAATGCAACATTTCATTTAAATAAAACAACGCCATTTTGAAGTTCTTAGGGTTTTAATTAGAGATTTTACTAAAGTTTAATTTATTCCTTCGGCTTTTAATTTTTTTGATTGTATTCCTATTTGACCTTAAACTTTTAATTTTATGCGATTTTACCCTCACCAAATTTCAATACCAACAATGAATTTCTTCAATTTAACTCTAATCTTTGATTTTATTGCAAATTTGTCCATAATTTAAATCAATTGACTTTGTAAAAATTGAATTTGGTCCTCTAAAATTCTAATCTTTTCGATTAAGCTCAAATTAGATTCCTAAACTTAATTTCTTAACAATTAAGTCCCTAATAAAATTAATTTAACTCATTAAAAGTATAATTAAGTCTTTGCACATAATTAAATCTTCTAATTTGACCCAAATTAATTCTTAAACATAAATAAACTCTTAATTCGGCCCATAATTAAATCAAATTAGCTTATTAAAAATCTAATTAGGTTTCTAAACTTAATTTTTATATGGATTCATTCAATAATAATTTAATTCGACCTTGAATATGTATTCTTTTTTCAATCTTGGATACAATATAGTATGATTAGGCTCATAATTTTATCCAAAACTCTAACTTGATTCTTTTACATATTGAAAACCCTACTTAACATGTTTTTTCCAAGTTACTAGCCTTTTTGTTATTATTATTTTTATTTTTCAAATGGAAAAAGTTAAATTT